AACACACACACACACACACACACTCAAACTCACTCACACACACACACACTCAAACTCAAACACACACACACACACACTTCACTTTAACTAAAATTAAAATTAAAATTAAAACTAACTGAACTTGTTAAAATTATTTAATACGTTTTAAATGCTTATATATAAATGTTTACTGGTATATATATATAAATAAATATAAATATAATTATTATATAATATAAATAAATGTGTAAATATAAATACATCTATAAATAGTTATAGATATAATATTAATTATTTTTTGTATAAAGTGATTTTTATTTATTTATGTGAATTTCATTCATTCAAAGGCAGAACGACTTTGATTAAAATTTTAAATGAAAACGGAAAATACAAAAATAACATTTTTAAATATTAAAATAACAATGGTAACCAGACTGACTCATCTATCTTTTTTCTTTTCTTTTTTTTTTTAAAAGAAGAATAAATCGTATACAATAACTTGTACATATAATTTGTAAATCAAGTATTTGGAAAAAATACATTTTAATGATTTTATGGTAACACTTTACAATAAGGTTTCATTGAACATTAGTTAACATGAACTATCACTGAACTACTCTTACAGCATTTATTAATATTGTTAATTTCAACATTTACCAATACGTTTTAAAATTCAAAGTTGGATTTGTTAACATTGGTTAATGCACTAACATGAAAAATTATATTTTTACTAAGATTAACAAAGATTAATAAATGCTTTTGAATATATTACTCACTGTTAGTTGAAGTAACTAATGATAACAATGGTAAAGTGTTACCGATTATACTTATTGTACAAATTATGTTAATAAAACCCTATACAAGTGAAATATTTTAGAGCACAGAAAACTAGATTTTGCTCATTTTCCATGATATTTGCATGTTTTCCGTGACCTGTAACTTGCTCTCTGACTGCTGAGAAACACTGAAAGGCCACGAGAAGTCTGAACTGAAGCAGCTCGTACGGATTCCCAGGAGCTCGCTTTCTCTAATAAGAGTTTTTCTGGAGACGCTGCACCTGACCTTACCTCGAGTCTGCAAACACCTCACAACAACACACACACACCGGACACATATTTACAGAGCACACACACACACACAAACACACACACACTCTCACGCACACACACACACACACACACACACACACACGCACACACACACACACACACACACACACACACGCACACACACACACACACACACACACACACACGCACACACACACACACACACACACACACACACGCACACACACACACACACACACACACACACACGCACACACACACACACACACACACACACACACGCACACACACACACACACACACACACACACACGCACACACACACACACACACACACACACACACGCACACACACACACACACACACACACACACACGCACACACACACACACACACACACACACACACGCACACACACACACACACACACACACACACACGCACACACACACACACACACACACACACACACGCACACACACACACACACACACACACACACACGCACACACACACACACACACACACACACACACGCACACACACACACACACACACACACACACACGCACACACACACACACACACACACACACACACGCACACACACACACACACACACACACACACACGCACACACACACACACACACACACACACACACGCACACACACACACACACACACACACACACACGCACACACACACACACACACACACACACACACGCACACACACACACACACACACACACACACACGCACACACACACACACACACACACACACACACGCACACACACACACACACACACACACACACACGCACACACACACACACACACACACACACACACGCACACACACACACACACACACACACACACACGCACACACACACACACACACACACACACACACGCACACACACACACACACACACACACACACACGCACACACACACACACACACACACACACACACTCTCAAACTCTCTCACACACACACACACACACACACACTCTCTCACACACACACACACTCTCAAACTCTCACACACACACACACTCACACGCACACACTTGTTCCCCGAGGGCCGAGAGGCTCCAATTAGACACCCTGATTTCTCTAACGGTGGAGAGTCTTCCTCTCCTGCACTGAAATAAAGGATCGCCTTTTCATTAGGGTCAATTTGCATATAAAAAAGAGAGATGGCTGATAATTCTAATTTCCAATTAGACTGGAGTGTTAATAATGCATCCGTGAACAGCTGAAGCTCCGAGTCGAGCGTTTAATGTGACTCCGTCCTCACTTCACTTTTATTGCCTGAAAATTCAGCCTCTTCAACCACAGCCGGCCACATTAATGCACCATATTTTATGGTGTTTTTACAGTTTTGCCATAAAATATATAATTTACTATTTAAAAAGTATATATATATATACAGTGGGTACGGAAAGTATTCAGACCCCCTTCAATTTTTCACTCTTTGTTATATTGCAGCCATTTGCTAAAATCATTTAAGTTAATTTTTTTTCCTCATTAATGTACACACAGAATACTTTCCGTACCCACTGTATATATATATATACACATATAAAACAAAAAAATATAACATTTATAACTAACAAATAAATAAAAAATAGCATTATTTACTTCATTAAACTACCTTATTTATTCATTCATTCATTTATTATTTTGTTTGTTTTTTACAGTTTTTGTGCATTTTCACATGGTCTTTGGTCGTGGTGATACCCTGTTATTTTTGTTTAAAAAGTACATTAATAGTATATCAATATGATAATCACACATTCCAAAAAGTACCATAGTATTACCATTACATTTTTACCAATTATATCATTATGGTTTTTCACATACAGTATACCATGAAAGTACCATGGTATTTTTGGATGTGCATTTTTAAAGATAGACCAGTAAGTCTGAAATTCAGTTTTC